GGGGCAGACACTGTGGCTCTCTACTACAGCAACACCACCCTCGACAAGGTAAACATGGCTGTGACTGTGGGGGGGCTGGTGATCACAGTGGTTTACTCATCCCAAATGCTGGAGAAGGCAACCCAGCTGCTCGTAGTGCTGGTGCCAGGGCAGAGCATCCTCTACAAAAAGAGTTCTCATAGCACTGAGGATGAGTCTCTGAGCCGCTGCCACAACCTGAGCACTAAACTCCAGAGCAGCTTCCAGCAGATGTCCTTTCTCCATCCATAGTCACAGGAGGGCAGCAGTTGTGTTTTCAGTATGCCCTTTATTTGGGAAAGTGGGGCATTCTTGTGTGCCACATCTACCTCATGCCATCTGCTGGTGCTCTCACCAGGCCTCACCTCCCTGCCCCATTCACCTGCCTGTTGACGGCCAGGTGAGAGCTCCCTGCCATGTGCAGCATGGCTCGGAACCAGGAGTTCCCTCAAGACAGCTCACATGCCACCAGTGCCAGAATGAGGGAGCCTGCTTCTGAGCAGCATCCTGGACTTTCAACTTACCCTAAGCCAGATGTGGAGCCACCTCCGCAGCCCTGCTTATCTCATACCAGCTTTTGGATGTGTAGCACAGCACATCACGTCCCTGAAACCAGCCTCCTGCAGGGCCAATGTGTGAAGGACATGCCTCAACCACTGGTGTGATGGATTCATGTTAAAATACATCTGAACTGTTCCTTTTAATTTCAAAATATCTAGTTTCAGATAGTCCCCTAGAAGGAATATGGATGCTTTCTCTGTACAAAGCTGGGTAAGGGAGGGCTTTGCTGCTCCACTGCTGATGCCTGCTGGGATAAGGCCAGTGCAGACATTTGCTCAGATCCAAAACTGGGACAATGAAACTCTAGAAGCAGAGGAGGTCTGCATTTGCAGTGGGAGGGGACCACAAAGAAGCTTTTAAACTCAAAGAGGGGAGATTTAGATTAGATGTTAGGGAGAAGTTCTTCCTTGTGCGGGTGCTGAGGCGCTGGCACAGGTTGCCCAGAGAAGCTGTGGCTGCCCCATCCCTGGCAGTGTTCAAGGCCAGGCTGGATGGGGCTTGGAGCAACCTGGTCTAGTGGAAGGTGTCCGTGCCCATGGCAGGGGGTTGGAACTGGATGAGCTTCAAGATCCCTTCCAGCCCAAACCAGTCGGATTCTGTCATTCTACGAAGTGCTCCCAACAGTAGGGAAAGACAATTGTTCCTAGCCATAAGGGTGGGAGCAAAAGTCAGGCATGGTCAGGACAACCCTTGAGCAGATGGTGAGGTGAGGAACAGCTGGTGTGAGGCAGAACCATCACGTCCTCCTTATGCCTCAGGAGGGAGCTGTAGGATGCACAAGGGAAAGGTGACGCGGAGAGCCACTCTGCAGTGGAAAGCAGCGGTGGCTGCATCTTCTGTGTCTCCCTGCAGGTGACTGTGGTGATGCCACTGCAGGAGAACTTGTGCAGCAGGTCCTCAGTGCTGGTCCCTCCTGCTGTCTGCATCAGTGAGCTCTGTGCCTCAGAGGAACCTTGATCTTTTTGGATCCAAGCAGTATGGCTCAGTCCTTACTCCACAAGCAAAGGTACAAGGGTGTTTCCAGCCCCTGCAAAGTCACACTTGGATCAGGTTGGGGCAGTCAAGACCTGGGTAAAATGAAACAGAGGTTCCTTCTCCAACTCCAGCCTCCAGAGAGGGGCAGGCAGTGGACCTCTCCCTCCTCTCCCAGCATGAGAGACCACTCTGTACTCAACTGTGTGGTGGGGCATGCCTCTTCCCTACTCCCCTGTGAGGATGGTGAAGGAGAGAAGCTGGTGTACATGGTGGTAGAAGGCTACAAGTGAAGACTCACCCTGCAGGGAGGGCAGAAGGAGGATGGGATACGGGCTCTGGAGAATCTCTGCTCCTGAAATCAGGCATGAAGCCAAGTGTTTTGGAAGGGGTATGCAGCTGGGAGCTTATTAACAGCCCCAAGGTGCACCCAGAAAACCATGTCTCCTTCCACATGGACCCTGCACTGCAGGAGGATGCTGGAAAGCTTGAAAAGGGTCTTGGTGAGCTCCCTAGAAAAGTGCTCCTGTGGCATCTCTGAGCTCTATCTTCAAGGTTGGTGTCCCACTCCTCTCACCCAGTTTGCAATGCCCTCCTCCCTCCCTCATCCACACTGCTCATCATCAGGATGGTCCCTTCTTAAGCCAAACTTGCAGGCTTGCACTCCTTCAGTGTCTTATACATACTTGAAATACCTGGACCAAAAAGTCACTTCTGGAAGTGACCTATAGTGTTTGAAGGATGGATAGAAACATTTCCTATTTTCTGTCTGGTTTTGTAAGGAAGATACAAAAGGCCAAGGTTGGATGGGGCTTGGAGCAACCTGGTATAGTGGAAGGTGTCCCTGCCCGTGTCAGAGCTTTGGAACTGTATGAGCTTTAAGGTCCCTTCCCACCCAAACCAATCCATGATTCTATGAAGTGAAGGCTTCACAGCCATTGTTTTGTCTCTCTCACCTTTTTGACCCTTTGAACCATTTCAGACAACTCTCACTACTGGGTAGAGATCTTGAAGTTATAAAGTGTAGTACAAAGTATTCTACTGGGTTCCAAGTCCCTTTTGTCACCAAAGGTTGGGCATGTGATCAAGTTACCCGCTGTAAAGCATGGCAACATAATTTCTGAGGGAGAAAAGCTGGGAGGTGGGAGCAGGAAGGTTTTACTGGAGCAGGGCAGGAGGTCATGGGAACAATATGTTCCCAAACATCCAGAGGGTTTCTGACCACCTCTGTTGCTCCTCTGCAGAACTGAACCTGACGTGCATAGGCTTCCTGGCAAAGGTCTGGGACCAGGCGTGGGCTCAGCTGTCAGAGCAGCAGCGCTCCATCGAGACATGGTGCTGGGGCTTCTGGGCCAACCCTGACCCCTTCTCAGTGGATGGCAGTGTGCTGAAAACCAGCCTCGAGTGCATTGCCCCTAAAGCCACCCTGTCCGTGTCACACAGTGCTGGTGAGCAGGAGGCAAAGCTGAGCATGGTGATCTGCTTCCAGCACAGAAAGCAGGGCTGGGACCAGGGTCAGGATACGTCCCCACGTGAGAGGGGCAGTGCAGGGCAAGCCACCAGACTGGGCTTCACCAGCTAGCTCCTTGCTTTTGGAGCTCTTGGACAAACAGCTTAGAAGCCCAATTGCTCAAGAGCTGGAGCTGGGACCTAGGCTGGAGCTCACCAGAGCCAGCACACTGCAGGGATGCAACCGAGGGGTGGAAGAGGGGCTTTCCACACCAGGAGGCTGGTACAGCCCAACCTCTTGTCACCCGTTGAAGCTGTGTGTGCCCCCATCATTGGAAGTGTTCAGGGCCAGCTTGGACAAGACAACTAACAAGGGACCAGACAAGAGGGAATGGCTTTAAACTGACAGAGGGTTGAACTGGATCATGTTTAAAGGTCCCATCCAATCCAGTCCAGCCCAAGCCAACCCATTCTGTGACTGATTCTGTGACCTCTTAGTGGCGCTCTGTGCTGGGAGAGATCCTGGCTACAATGCTCTGTCTCTGCCTTTGCACTCTCAGCTTCCTTCCAGGAATGGGAAATTGCCCTGTTTCTCGTGGGATCTCTCCTGCTCATGTTTTTGTTGGTTGGCCTGGCATTTTACTTCATCAAAATGTGAGAAACCATCTTTCTATCTGCCTTGCATTTCTCACTTTCTCTTTCCCCAGTGCTTCCTTTCTAATTGCTATGCAGTGACCTGCTCCTTCTCTCACGTGATCACCTACATTCTTCATCCAGACACTCCAATATGTTGCTCTTAATTTTTTTGCAGCGAAGTCCCTTTGCTTCTGGTTCTGCAGGAGGTTAAAGTAAGCATGAGTGAAAACATGCACAATGCTAGGCATGTCAGTGGGCACAGCATAAAGACCATCAATCTTACTTAGAGCATGTGGTGAGAGAGCAGAAAGCTGAAGGCTTGCGGCACACAAAGGCAGTGAGAGATACTGCTCTGGCTGCAGGGAAGAGCTCTTCCTTTAGAGCAGGGTGGAAGCAACAGACAGTTTAGGATTGATTACCTTGGTGGGAAACAGCTTCCACATTATAACATGGCAGCACTGTAAATAATTACTTGACGTTCCCTAATGTCAGCAGGCAATATGCAGCTTACCAGGCTGTATGTTTGAAATGAATGCTATGGTGGATGGTTTATTTAACTATCCCAAGTGATTTGTTACCATTCATTTTTACTAATCTGATGTACAAGAGTTAGAAAGGAAGAAAGTCCTTAAAATCCATCTGGGGAATAGAAAACTGTGAGTAACTTTTTAAAGACATTTTAGAAATACCATAAGTCAGGTTTAGGGAAGCTGTTTCAGAAACTAGCGTGGGTTTAAGTAGATGTACACATGCCAGGTGATGGCAGGAATTCTGCTCTTGGTTTTCCCCAAAACATTAACAAAGACCTTAGGAAACTGCGTGCCTGCTGAAGGCAGATCCAGCCTCTTCATTTCAAGTGCCAAGGAAAATGCAGGTTAGTTGTGCAAAAGAGCAGAGTGACAGATTTCACATTTCCCTTTGTCTTTTGCTTTTCAGACACCCCCAGAACTACACCAACATTGAAATGAGTGACCGCGGGAAGATGGTAGCAGAATTCTAATGCTGCCAGCACAGCAATGGGACAGCCATGTGTCTGGGGGGGTCACTGTGACCGGGACTGCTGCAGGGACCTGGAAAACACCCGGGGGGGGGGGGGGGGGGGTGGGTAGGATGTGAGTACCACTCTGTGTGTGTGTGTGCGCGCAAACACGTGGATTATTTTTACACTTACAGACTTTGACCTCAGCCTCAAGGAGTTCAAAGAAACGGGCTAGGCCCTTCTACACAAAGCTTGTGCTAAGTGTCGTGACCAGAAAGCAATAAGCCTGCTTGGCTGATGCACAGAAAGGACACATTCTGCCTCCTCTCGAGATTCACTGCTGGGTGATGAACCAAGGCCACCCCCTGCACATCTTGCAAAATGAAGAGAGATCCCACACTGTTTCTGAACTGTGGTATATGTACATTTTTACTGAACAAGGCCCCACAGCGGGAGAGCACAAAGCGTCCTTGATTGATCATCCTGGTACTGACCCTCATGACAGGAAGCCTTGCATCTTCTTTGAGACCCTGCTGTTTCTCTCTTAGTTGCATCATCTCCTTGTGGGCCTCCTGTCTGTGCTGCTGAAGTCCATAAAGTCCCACGTAGTCCATGGGCCACCAGCCAGCCTCAGCCAGGATAGGCAGCACAAAGTGGGGCCTCAGCTTTCCACTACCATGCCTCTTGTGCCAGGCAGCCCCTTTCAACCAACAGGCCTGAGGACAAGAGCCACCAGTGACCTTCTCTGCTTGATGCCCCATAGTCCTTAAGCCACAGCCTGTGGGAGGTGGTTCTTCTCCACAGCTTCATCCTACCATCAGCATAGCACTGCTAGAGTGTTGCTCGCATCACAGTAGGTCAGATGAGCTCCATCTTGAACTGGCTGAAGCTTGGCATGGTGAGCGAGGGCTCGGTTGTGTTGCTGAAGGGGATGCAGGGCTGGTTGGCCGGCACTGTGATGTGGCTCACTGTGGAGCTGAGCTGCTGCAGCCTCACCAGCACCTCCTGCTGCAGCCACTGCTGGTGCTCTTGCTGCCACTCCAGCTGGCTCTGCCTCTGCAGCAGCATGTGCAGGGCCTGGCTCAGCTTTGGGATCTCTGTCTGTACAGCATCCAGCTTTTCAGCAATGGCATGGGAACTGGGAGCAACAGGAAGTACTGAACTGCCCCAAGCAAGGCTTGGATTTCCAGGGCTCGTAGGGTTCAGCAGGACCATCTGAGTGCTGTCATCTTTGACCTGCAATAATGGGAAGCAGAAGAGAAGGGAGGGTGAAACATTGCCAGCTGCTCCTTCAATGACATTTGGCAAAAGGAAGATTTATTCTGTGCTTAACTACAAGGTGTGAGAGAAAGCCATCACTTCGCTGGGGACCTCTAGACTTCATCCCCACCCAGCCCCTCCGCTACTGCTCTGCAAGAGCTCCACATGCTCTGCATGCTGGCAGCATGTGTTTAGACATCCACTGGTGGATGCTGTTCCTGTCCCAATGCCAGACACACGTTTGCTCTCTGCAGGGACAGAAATAACACATCCTGGGGTTTTCTTTACAGTCCCTCTATGTCTTGTATTGTATCCTGAAGCAACGACTGTTCTGCTCACTGAGGAGGACCACATGTGGTTTTGAGCCCCACGGGAGCTTTTCTTCTGGAAAGGGTGCTGAACAACCTGTGTCCTCTCAAGCAGCTGGAAGGGCTCTTGGCAATCACTTATGGGACAGTGTATGCATGGCCACAGCCTGGGGGTCTCATGGCATGGCAAGGCAGGGGGGTACACAATGGGGATTACAGCAGTTGGATATGTCCCAGGGGTGGCTGTCCTAGCTGTGTCAGCCTACTGTGGCCTGCCACAGCACTTCATCTCCTGGTACAGCACCAAGTCATGCAGCTGCTAGTGTCCTTGTGGTGGGCTGGGGAAGCTCCTGAGCTGGTACTGAAACCAAGCCTTAAAGAGGCGGTTTGTGAGCTGCAGGTTGGAGGCCAATGCTAGCAAAAACTGACCTATCCATGGCCAGCATCACCTAAGAACAGCAGCTGTGTGGGCAGCATGCCCCACGGCCCTAGAGAACAGAGGGGCTTCCCAGGCAAGCTCCCAAAGTGCCAGGATTGAGCATTGCTGTAGAGTGCAGGTAGCAGAGGCTGGGAGGTATTTCAAGACTGTTTTGCCGCCAGCAGCCTGCCCCATCCATCTGCATGGAGTGGATACAGCAGGGTGCTGTGCAGGGTGTCCTGTGGGCAGCACCACCGCAGCTCCCGCCTGGCGCAGACAGGCTCTCTCACCCCACGGTGCTGCCCAGCAGCCTACCTTTTACTGCAGGATGATCGTCCTGTCCACGAGCTGCTTCTTCACCATGAGGGCTGGGTTCCTGGCCAGGGGTGCACTCGGCCACTCTTGGCTGGGGAGGGGCTGGTGGGTGCTGACCATGATCCCTGGAGCCAAGAGGGCACCTGTGGAGCTGCCATCGCCTGCAAGGGACAGCGAGAGAAACACCTTGAAAGGAGACTCTGGGGCAACCCAGCACAGGGCTGGGAGCCCTTTCCCTGATCCAGCATTGCTGAGGGAGCCAGGCCTTACCATTCCTGGGGGGCAGCCCCATGGGGAAGGCCTCGCTGCTCTGCCCACTGCCCCAGCACAGTGAGGTTGGGCTGACACGCTGGTTGCCCTCCTTGGTGTCGGGGCCAGCTGCGGGGCCCTGGCTGACCAGTGGGTCCCCGCCAGGCACTGCAGGGGAACAGGGACCTGCCAGCTTGGGCAGCTTAGGCTCTTGTCTTTGCAGTGGAGGCTACGGCTGGTCCGTGTCCCAGGCAGCTGCCACCAGCCCCGGCTCCACGCTCTTCTACTTGAGGAAGAGGTACACTGCCTGCGGCATCACGTGGATGTCATCCAGCTCCAGCACCTACTTGATCTTGTGGAAACTCAGCCCGGCCCTGTGCAGCTCCACGATCCTTCTCTTAGCACAGTCATCCAGCTGGCCCATCGCTCCCAGGACCTCTCCTAGCCAGCACCTACATCCCCCTTGTGGTGACAGCAGCAGCACCCTAACAGCACCAAGCCCCACGGTGGTGCTCAGACCCTGCTAGTACTCTGCTGCTGGGCTAATGGCCCTGGCTGTGGATCCACAGGGTGCCATCCCCAGCTTTTAGCAGTGACCCAGTTCCCAGCCAGAGAGGAAGAAGGAGCTAGCTCTTCCCACCAGAGCTACTAGGGACAGTCCAAACCCTGTCCCTAGCTCACACAGAGTCCCCTTGGAGCTGGGGGTCCAGCCTGGTCCCTCTGTCTGCTAAAGGCACAGAGGATGGTAACAGACTTGGCTGTGCCCTGTGTCCCAAACTGGACATCAATTCTGCACTGACAGCAGCACAGGGAGGAATCAGGAGTGGAATCAGCAGCAGCAGCTCAGTATCCTAGGAAGCTCAGTGTGAGCCCTGGCAAATGGTGGTTCAGTGCACAAGGCTGGAAGGTTCCTAACAGAGCTTCACATCTCCTTGGTGGTCTGGAAGGGGACCAAGCAGAACCTGGGAGGCCCATGGTGACAACTTCTCCATGGGAACTCCTTGGGCTGCAGAGCCTGCACTTTGCGTTTGAAGAGGACACTGTCTTGTACCTTTGGGAGAAATAAAACCAACCACTTATATACCAGTTGTAAAGATGGCACAAGTGTAAGTGTAATGACAGTACCTCCCATGCCTCCCTGTCCTCCCCATAGGCACAGCCCTGGCTGATGGCTCAGGAGGTGTCACACTCATGGTGCATGCGTGTGTGGTGTAGCAGGGATGGTGCTGCTGGTGTGGTCCCTGCATGTTTGTCTCCTCTGGGTTGCATCTCAGAGCCAAGCACCATGGTAGGACCAGCCCATTTCCTTGCTGCAGGTGTTATGGCAGGGGCGGGTCAGGATGTGCAGTGCTTGAAGTTGTGTCTTTGAGTCATGCACCTCAGTTATTTTGAATTGCTACTGTTACAAAGCCATCAAACTTAATGTTACTTAGAACTGATTCTACTTATTTACAAAGATTTATATTTCATTTTGTGATTTTGTGCCTTTTTGTCTCAAATCCCCCATTTTTCTGTCCTTTCGCAAATCCTTTTGCAAATCCTTTACTACCATTATCATCTAGAGACTTTTTGAAATAATTTCCTGTTTCTACTTGATGCTTGAGGGTGACGGAACACTGGAACAGGCTGCCCAGGGAGGTTGTGGAGTCTCCTTCCCTGGAGACATTCAAAACCCGCCTGGACGCATTCCTGTGTAACATTATCTAGGTGTTCCTGCTCCGGCAGGGGGATTGGACTAGATGATCTTTCGAGGTCCCTTCCAATCTCTAACATACTGTGATACTGTGATACTGTGATTTCATTTCTCTTCCAATCTTCATAATTTATCATAGATCGTTTACAATACCAGAAGGAACATTGTATCATACCACAAGTAATCAATATTAAAACAATATTCCTGCAACTAGTTGCCTCAACCAGGACAGATTAGCTAACCATGAAGTTAACTTTTTCCATATTTCTTCAAAACCCCAGGAGACATGGGGATTGACAGAGGATGATCATCCCAGGAGGATAATTCTCCTTGCCCATTTCATGAAATACTTCAGTTTGTTTCCAAATTTCCTCCAGATCTGTTTCAATTCTGCCATTTTGATCTATGTAGAAACAGCAACTTTCATTGATTATGGAACAAACCCCTCCTTGTGAAACCAGTAACATGTCTAGAGCCATTCAGTTTTGTAATACCACTTTAGACAGGCTGGTTATCTCTTTTTGTTCCGCTTGGATTATATCAATAGTTTTACTTTCTATTTCCTCTATGGTTGCTGGGATATTTACAATTGCCTTCTCTAATTCACTTACTCCCAAAGATAGAATTAGCCATCTCACAAAACTATGAAATGTGGTGCTCCATTCAGCAATAGGGTTAAACCCTTGCTTAATCTGTTTCGCAAAACTTCTAATCCAGGTTCCAGAAGGATACATGTCAATAATAGTAAGATTGGGTATCACAGCACCTAAGGTGCATGCCCCCTTCCAGCTGCGGGGTAGTCTTATAAACATTTTCTTCACATAACCAATACCGTCCTTTCTCTTCAAGAAAAGGCCACCACTGAACTACGATACCATCTATATTAATAGTGTGATTGGAATTTGAATAGTGACCTACATGTGTGGCATTTAAACAAACATGATCTCCTACTCTGGTTCCCGGTGTAATACATCTTTGTACACAGGTATAAGATTTTTTACTTGGATTAGGATTAACTACCCCAAATTTTAACCTTTCCCTCAGATGTAGATTACTAGTGTTCACTCACAAATTCCTCCATGAGATAGTGTTGGGAATTGAAATGCCAATTAATGGAAGGTCTGGATTTTCTCCTGATTTAGGCAACTGTGCACACACCCAACAGTCACTACGATTAAAAATTTTAGTAACATTTGGTAACATTTTAGTAACAAGTTTTGGTCCCAAGCTTGTATGCCAGTTATCATATAAATCCAAATTCTGACTGATGCAGTTTCATATGTAAGGGTCCTGAAGGTTCAATCCACCATGTCTTCTCTGGCTCTGGTGCTTTCTTTATTCTTGAATAATGTATCCAAGCAGGTTGTTCCTTTATCTTCACTACTGTAAAGGTGGTCAATAATATCTGGTGCGGTCCGCTCCACTTCTCCTGTAGAGAATCTCCTGTGAAGTGGTGGTAATGGCATATCCTGCCTTTCATTCACCATTTTTCATGAAGCTACTACCATCAGTAAACCCAGAATCAGCATCTTCCAGAGGTTTTTCTTTCAAATCTGGTTGGCTCAAACATACAGTCTCTATAGTGGCCAAGCAGTCGTGTGTTAGTGGTTCTGTCGATTGTTCCTGCAAAAAGGATGCAGAACACCATAATCATGGATTCAAAGTCTGCACCATCCAGTCATTCCCAAGAATGTCTGGAGCTCCTTGACGGTCGATGGTCATGGAGTTTGAAAACTGGCTTCTTTTCTAGCGGTTCCAAATTCTCTCTGTCCTCCTGTTATTTCATATCCTGGGATTTCAGATGCCCAAACTCCTGGGTATACCTGATTGAGGATTTCTTCTACTTTGGGTGAATTGGACTTCCTGATTTCCTTCCTCTGAGGAAGGACCCATTGTGGTGCATTTTCACATAGTTTCTCCGAGCTTGTCCAGAAACTCTGTCAGCAACTCCTTCGCCCGTCTTATTTCAAACAGCACTGACCAGTTTACTGCTTTAGGTATAGCATTTTCAAGCCCCTATTTATTCCAATGTTGATATCTCTTTAGAGATGCATAATCTCCGGCATCATTATAATCCCAAGCTGGAGCTGTAAGGGGAATATGATCTTCAACCGTCCCAGCTGTCGCCCCTGCAGTAATCTAAGCATTTACCTGAGTACAAGCAGTTTTTATAACCAGTTGTTTTTCTGTCTCTGTTAATGCATCCAATATTACATCTATATCCTTCCAATCAGGATCCTGTCTTTTTACCAGTATCTCAAATTTCTTAGCTACCCCTATGGGGTCATTTTGATAGTTTTTTGGAATCTGCTTCCAATTACCCAAATCTCCTACAGATAAATTCACTTTTATCCTGGTACGCCCCTCCGATCCCATTGCTTCCCTAAGAGGGGCTTGCAGGACAGTCTTAGTTTTATTACGGACATGGGTGGCAACAGGAGTGGAGGGAATTTTCTCTACACTTTGTTCTTGCTCTTCATCTGAAACAGAGGTGATCTCTGATCCAGTACCTTTGGGGAAACATAATCCTCCATTCTATCCTCAACCATGTTATCCTCAGCTCTTAAGTTTCAAACACATTTCCCCAGTATCACAACCAGAACAAGATCTTTCCAATCTATTCCCAGCCTGCTTCCTTTCTTTTTCTGAAGCTAAAATTAAAGGATCTGAAGGTGCTATATTAATTCCACATTCTTTCTGCCATTCCGGGTGGTTTTGCAACGTGAAAAAAATATATCTGCATACATTACTTCATCCCATTTTCCCTGTCACCTCAAAAACAACATTAATTGTAACAATATATTATAATTCAGAGTTCCATTTTTAGGCCATTTCTCCTGATCCTCCAGAGTATACAACGGCCACCATTGGTTACAATATTTTACCAACATTTTCTTATTTACTGAGCCCCCAGGAGACACACCGCACCCCCCACCCCGGTTCTTTCCAATGTGCCAAAATGCACCCTAAAGGACTCTTTTTCAAGATCTCTCCACTCTGCTGGTTTCCCATTATCAGTCTCACATTCACACACACACTAGGATTCCCACAGACACGCTCCACACAGTTACAACACTTGAGACAGAGACTAAAATTCTATCAAACAACCAACAATAACACAGTTATAACATCCTGTCACCAATACTAAAATCACAAGACCAAAATCATCACTGTAAAAAGCCGCAAAATAAGTCGAATATCAATAAGATCCCAAACCATTTCCACAAGACACCCCCTGTGTCTTGTAGGACCCAAATCACAAGATACCCCCTGCTTCTCGTGGGTGTATAGCAAACGGACGCTAGCAGCCAGGTATATGCCTTTACCTAACAGATTTCATATCTCGATTTGCGGAAGGCTTCCTAACCTTGCGTACACTTACCAAACCAACCCAATTTAGTACCTTACAGACTATATAAAAGAGAAGAATACCTTTTATGAAGATGGTCCTTGTCAGCTCCCACAGTGATCTGAATGAGGAAAAGGGTCCCTCCGGGAAGAACTCCCGAGGGCCCTAGGAAGCCCTGTCCTCAGCGGGTCCTGCAGCTGAGCAGAGCAGGTCCCATCTGGGGTGCCAAATTGATTCGGAGAAAACTCTAGGAACAAACTTGCCAACAAAGTTTTCAAGTTGACAAGCAGGTATTCTTTACGACAGCGCCGGGAGACACGGGGGATAGCTCCACCTAGCGTGTGTCCACGTACTGCTACACAAGCCGCCCTTATATAGTCACTGGGCATATATGCATATTCATGAGGCTACGTATGAATTACATCATTTTCCAGAAAGTTTCCCCGCACGAGTACAAAAATGCGGTGGTCTCTGAGGGTCGTTTACTTCTTCCAACAATCTTCATCACTTCTGGCAGCCTTTGAAGCATGCACAGTAGATGTTTACGCCAGCTTAATTGGTTCAAGTAACACTACAAAATAGCAATCATCCTGTCCTACTGATCAGTTAGTTTACGTGGAGCCCATCCTGGACATCTGCTAGTTCCAGATACTCCCCATCCCCACGGCCTGTTTTTCTGTCCTGTTTTTCTTACACTTATTTTGTATTAAGGTCATAAGGACCTAAAACTCTGTCAGCTACAACAGTTTATCTTATACAAGTGATACAGAGGGTTGACCAATGTACAGGGGGGTAGTACAGGGGGGTAGTACAGGGGGGTTATACAAGGGGGTTAGAGGAATTTGCTTGCTTAAACAAAAGGACTATCTGTTGTAAATGCCTGCTAAGCAGAATAGAGACCTCCGGTCCTGTTGATAAGCAGACGCCTGAATCTACTGATAAAGGGGAGAAGCAGAGGAATTACGGCTGGGATACTGACCAAACTCTACTGATAAAGGGGAGAAGTAGAGGATTTATGGCTGGGACACTGACCAAACTCTAAGACCACACATAAAGACTAAAAAAGGTGAAAAGTGCAAGAAGAGGAAGACTCATTTACTTCATCTTGAAGACCCCTACCCAGAGGAGGAAGACTCAGTTACTTCATCTTCAGACCCCTGCCCATGACCAGAGGGGGCACTGCGCAGGTGCAGAGGACCTTCTGGCTCATTATAATACGAAGCGGGGATAGGACATGAATATGTATAGGCGTGTTGCACAACCTTATGAATATATATATAACTTTAGCGAATAAATGTAGAGGGAAACAACACTGAGGTACGCACGACTTTGAGGAATTATCCCCGTGCGTCTCAGCGCTGAATAAAAAGCATACCTACTTTACAACTTTAACGAGTTGTGGAGTCAATCCGCGCATCAATTTGGCGAGCCAGGCAGGAGGTCTCTGTTCGGCTGCAGGATCGGCTGAGGGGCGGACATCCTAGGCGCCCCAGGCCGCTTGCCTGGAGGAGCTCCGCTCCTCGTCCGCTCACTGCGAGGACAAACAACAACCTGTGCCGGCTGCGGAGAAACGGTATGCTTGAAACTCAGGGGGTCTGTAAGGCGTACGCGTGGCCCGGGGCTGCTGGTAAGGCGCGCAGAGACGTCTGGCGCACAGCGTAGTTCCCTTGGCAGGTAGGGCTTGCAAGCAGGGGACTCGCCGACCGGTAGAGCGGCCGCTAGCGATCCTGAGGGTGGATCGGGTGAGTTCGGGTTTTCGCTGCATCCCAAGTTTTGGGAGCCAGGAAGGATCTGCTAATGACCATAGTGGAAGCAGGTGAACGGGTAGGCGAACCCACCAGGTCTCCGCTGCATCTCAAATTACAGACCTGCTACCATAAGAAGCAGGAGAAGGGTAAGGCGGAACCACAGTGTGAGTGTGTGGGATCCCATGTGTGTTTGTGTTTCTGTGTGACTGGGACGTAGCGCAGCTACGAAGCGAGTGTGGAGTCCTGATCCGCGGTTCCGTGTTCTCCGCGGAGAGCGGCCGGAGACGGACGAAGCGTCTTTGGTTTGTGTTGTGCCTAAGTGCTTTGTGCGTGTGTATGTCTGTCGTTAGTGTTAAAGATTAGTGTTTAAGCGGCGGGGGAGGAGTAGACAAAAGTAAACTGTGGCTAATGGGGGGTTAAGAAGAGTTCCCTCTCTGCGCCCCAGTGGCTGTATAACAGAAGTATAACCTCTAATATCTGTAGTCCTATTCTTGAGA